TTTGTTAATGCATATATATATATATATATATATATATATATATATATACATACATATGATATACATATTAATAATAATGTATAATTAATATGGAAATAATATGTATATGTATTCAGAAGTTTTAGATCGGTAAGAATTTTGTGTTTTTAAAAGAAGTGTCTTCTGCTCATCCAGGCTGCATTTATTTTGACCCAAAATACATCAAAACAACTTTAATATTGTGAAATATTTTTACAATTTAAAATTACTATTTACTTTTTGTGTATCTTTTATCCAAAGCGACTTACAAATAAGAAAAAGTAATTAAAAATAAAAGCTAAAACTCTATAAATACTATATATATACACATTTAAGAAAATAAAAGAAATTAAATAAAAATGACAAATGCATACAACAACATTTCAAAACTAAACATTTAAATGAAAACAAAAAAATAAAGCTAAAAACAATTCAAAATATTAAAAGAACAAAAGGTATGAGTATAATAATGATTCTAACAGAACACTAAGCCAAACACCAAAAAACAACTACATGTGTATGTATAGCCACACACATATACATATACATGTACATATATATATATAAATACATTCAATATATATATATTATTTCATTTCCATTTTGTATGTTGAAGTACTGAAATAACTCAAATTAAATAAAACTAAAACGTAATAAAAAACCTATATAGACATAATAAAAAACTAATAAAATGACAACATTACTACAACTGTAACTAAAACTAAAATAGATAACTAATACAAATCAAACTACATTAGTTTATCAGTAATCCTAAAAATAACACTGAGCCAAACACACATGCTAAAATAACAACAACTTACTGACACATAGTAAGAAATGGTTATAAAAAACTGAAACAGAAGTCAAAAAAGTATTTAATTAAAGTATTTTCTATTTGAATATATAGTAAAATGTAATCTATTCGCGTGATCAGCATCATTAGGCCTACTTCAGTCTTCAGTGTCACATGATCCTTCAGAAATCATTCACTGTTGTTGCCGCGTGTGGGAGCGTTTTGATTGGTCGATTCGGTGCTGGCGTCATTAGCGCTCTGGCGTGGGCGCGTCGCGGTCTAAACTAACGTTACTGGGCATGCGTACATCAATAAAGCGTAATTTTTTTCACACTGTACAACAATAATGACTATTTTTGCATTATTGTAAGGGGTAGGTTTAGGGTTGGGGTAGGTATAGACGTTAATAAAACACAATCTAATAGGTAGAAAATTAAATTTATTGTTAGCTTCCGGTTTTTGCTGTATCCCTTCTAGCCACAACCGCGCGTCAAACGCACGCTCCTCCGGCGGAAGGATTGATGATGATGATGATGATGATGATGCTGCGCGGATTCAGCAACATCCAGAATAAAGCCCTGACGCGTCGGTAAGAATCGTCGCGTGACGAGCCGTCAATCGCTTTATTCCGCAGATCAGACGCTTATCCTGATGATCGCAGCAGCAGCAGCACACACTGATGCTTTAAGATGTGTGTCTTCATCAACGCTGGTCCATAATGTGTGTGTGTTAAATGCATTTTGAGTAGTAATAGCGTCATTATGTACATAGATGTGTTTATTTCTGGTGCTATCTATGGCCTTGATAGGTTTAAAGAGGCCCTGGAGGTATGATTTATGACAGATTTTAATATATTTAACACATCTGATAAAAAAACAATTTCTTAACTTTATAATCTTGTTCATATTTAAACTAACAGGTGTCAGATTTAAAGTTTTAAAGAACGTCTCCTGTCAGATTAAATATTAAATTATTTTCGTGTGTGATTGGACACTGTTGAAGCTGTTATTTGGGTCATATTTCATAAATCATGGCTTGTGTAAATGTCACACCATGGGAAATGGGTTCTGACAATACCTCTGCATGTTATTTCTGAATGAGTTTGAAATGAAAGGTGTCAGTGGTGTTTTGGCACAGAAAGCTGATCCAGTTTCTGTCTCTCTCTAGGCATGAGCATTGAAACCTGACAGAAGGGCAGCAGGAGAATGAGACTGCGGTTTGTAGATAAAGTGAGTAGAAAAACCCTTAAAAATATATTTTTAAATTATTTTTACATGATGTACACTACTGGTCAAAAGTTTGGATTAATTCGTTTTTTAATGCATTTCAAAGAAGTCTCTTAAAAAAAACGTAATCACAGGAATACATTATATTTTAAAATAGAAAACAGTTATTTTAAATGAATAATAATATTTCAAAAGATCACAGGTTTTGCTGAATTTTTAATGCAGCCCTGGTGAGCATAAGAGACTTCTTTGGAAAATATAATTTTTTTAATTAATAAAAAAAATGTAATTGTTTAATTATTCCAAACCTTTCCAAACTTGTGTATTAGATTGATCTTCCACTGTTTTTATATGTATTGTTTGTTCACCATTCACAGATTTAAAATACATTTAAAATGTACATTTTTTTATAATCAACACAAGATGCATTTATTATGCCATAAATCTTTAGAGAAAATGAAGTATTTCATGTTAGCCGTTTTGAGTTTGTATTTCAGAGATCTGTTCATGTAGTGATGGAAGGGCATGTTGATAATTGTGTGTGGCTCTCAGCAATCAATAATCAATATTAAATACCTGCTGCTGTTTTTGCAGTTGAAAGAACGTTAAATTAGTATATTATTTAAATCTACGTATTTGAATTATATTATTTAAATACTCTGATAAAACATATAGCAGAACATACCGATAATTCTCAGATGACGTGGAGCTTAAAAGTGTCTTTTGTATGTTAAATGATCGATGTTAATCTGATTTCCAGTGATTTATGTATGAAATGGCTCTTCTCTTCTCATCTGTGTTCCCTCAGCAATGGCAGCAGGTGCAGCGGATGGTGATTTATGGGACGGTCTTCCTCATCATGACCCTCCTCATCCTCTACAGCTCCAACAGCTCAGCTGATCTTTACAGCCCCTTTAAAGTCAACGAGTTTCACTACGCCATCAAACACACCAACCTCAAGAAATGGGCCGGGAAGGAGGCATACGTTCCTGTTTACGGCAACAAGGTGACACCAACATTTTTACAAATAATATTTA